AATTGATGTAAATTGAAAAGCGAAAATTGCATTATTTAAAGAACAACTTCATCATCACCAAACTCTAGTGATCGATTATCATGAATCAACAATAAAAGAAATTCTTTAAAGATTTAAAGTGATAAAAATAGAAAACTTGTCTTATGTGCTATATGTAAAGGTCGTTCTAAGTGCCAATATTGACCAACTTATGTTGCTTCAAACTCAGACACTAAAGACAGCTCAAGCACATTATTAATATTATTATTACACGTAGTTAACTTCAAAGTCAATAATTCGAAAACACATCAATTTAACACAGCTCATATGTATCTAAAGACAATTTGATTTTTTACATTTTATGAAATGTAAAGAAAATATAAGGAAAAAATTAAGTAGTTTAACCAAGTAAAATTTCTAATTCAAACTATGACATTTGTAAATTTTCCATGATAATTATTCTTCTTGCATCATTGCAATATACATACAATGAATGATATAATAATAATTCTTTATTCACACAATCTTACATAATTTGGAACTTTGATATCATCATCGTTATTGCTGCTTGTATCAAGTGATTTTACTTGTATCAAGCAGTTTTAATTACGTCAATTGGTTTTACTTACGTCAAGGGTTTTTACTTTAGTCAAATCGTCAAAATGGCCTTGGTGATTTAGTCAATACTTTAATTTCGTCAATGACTAAAATCAAAAGTTTCGTCATACATCATTATCTGACAATGAATCAAATGGTGAAATTTGGTATGATGAGACTTTTGAGGGTGATTTTAACACGGGTTCACCTTCAATTTTTGATGAAATGATGGCAGCAAGCTCAAGCACCATGGAATCAACAAGCTCTAATTCAAAAAGACCTCCTGCTTTATATTGGTAATGCTGCACACACGATCAGGCGAAAAAAGCATTGCAATAAAAGTTGCTGCTTCAAACACCAATCCATTGATATCATTTTTTCCAAAAGAAGATTCTCCAGATGATGCTGTAGTTGATAATAATGATGACCGAATGACTGTTGATTTTTAGGTGATATTGGTAAAGTAGAAGTAATTAAAAAATTTGAGGGTCAGCTCTAGAAAAATGATCTTGGTGTTAAATGGAATACCTTGGCCAAAAAAGTGTAATGTTAATGTTAAAGATTTTAAAAAACACATTGAAAAAGAAATATTCCCTTCAATTCGAATTGAAGAAAAAAAAGAGATAAGTGAATCAACTGTACATGTATGGCCGAGAAAACTTGGATGAACCACCAGAAAATCCATAAATATATCTACTTGGATGGACATGAAAGACCTGATGTGATCCATGCAAGAGAAAATTTTCTTGAAAAAATAAGTTCTTTGAAAAAATTGATGCCCATCCCTAGTGAAGATGATGTTATGGTTCTTAATGAACCAATACTTGCACTTGGAGGAAAAAAGCATATAATGGTAGCCCATGATGGTAAAAAAAACTTATTGGGACCAAATAATTACATTCCTTTAAAAAAAAAAGGAATGGGTTTAAGTCTTCATGTTAGTGATTTTTTAACTGGGGTAGGAAGACGATTAAAATTTGCTGAAGATGAAGCCTGTGTTATAATAAAGCCTGGGTAAACCGTGATGGATGGTGGAATCCACAAGATCTTGTTGAAAAAAAAGCAATTCCAATTTTTGAAAAATTCCGTTTAGTTTTAAGCTCTAGTTACCAAGATAATAAAAAAATGATAAATGTCTATTTCGATAGTGATAACGAGATATACAGCGTGTAACAAAAAAATAATTGGTGCAATTTAGAAAAAGGATGTTTTTTGTTCTTTTCTAGCAGCCAATTGCCACTACATTATATATAGTGAACTTATCATAAAGATTAAGATTTAATCGGATTTTTGAAAGTCAAGTATTTTAAACTCAAAATTTATTCATGAAGATCTAAATTCAACAATGTTCATATATAAAATTTTTGGTGAGTTTGTTAAACGAGATATAGAGTAAAAAATTCGAAAGAATTGGAATGACATTTGGCAAATTAGTGAAAAATGAATTTGCTGATTTTTGTATATAATTGAATTTTTAATTTAAATGAAACTTCATTGCCTAATATTAAAAACAATTAAAAACAGTGTTGTCAAAATTGCCAGTCCAATAAGTCCAATCGACGCAATAAAAAAAGTGGCTTGGTTGTACATTGGACCAGTCCAATTGGTTTGGACTGGACTAGACTTTATTTGAACTTTGTCATACAAAGATAAAAATTTTTATTACTGTAAAAAAGAATGTAATCAATCACACATGACTTATAATATTACTCTTTCAATGTCTCGAGGAAGTAACCAATATAAAAAATACTTTTATGTTTTACCTGATAAACCAAATGATTATAATCACTTGGGTATCTGCATTGCTTGTAAGAGCTCTAATATAAATACCAACGAATTGAAAATAAAAAAACTTGTCGTAATCATTTGTTGAATTGTAAATTTTTTCGAAATAATTTTTCAAATGAGGAAGAATGGTTAAATTGGGTTGCTGATAATGACACAGAAACTACAATTGAAAATGAACTTTATAATAATGGTGAAGGTTTTATTAATACATCATCTAAAGAAATAAATAATTTACAAAATCTTTCTATTCCAAATAAAAAAAAGACTCTTGGGTATGAATTTTAGTGTATTTATTTATTAAAAAAGGATAAGATAAAAATAATAACCTTATTTAAATATCCGTTAATAGATAATAATTCATATCTTTCGCGTTCTATAAAAGGTGATGATGTGAAAAATGTGAAAAAATTGATTTTTATTTGTCATCGTTAATTTAAATGCTGAAATATGTGATTGGCCACCCCTTAGAATTTGTCCAGAGACTGCTTGGACTGGTCCAATAAGTCCAATTGCCAACAATGATTAAAAATAAGTTTCATATGAAATTTATACTAATAGAAACTTTGTTATGCAATGTACATTTTTACCATTTTCTTGAGCAAAAGATCATAAAATAAGAACCAAATATGTTCAATTTTTTTTTAGGATTGGACAAATAGCAACAGATTATTCTGAAAAAAACCATAAAATAATTCATGGGCAAGAAAATCTGTCACAAATTAAAGATTGTTCGAAAGAAATAACATCAAATAGCATACATTGTTTGACGTGGTACACCAAAATGATTCTTTATTGAGAAAATATCTTTCAAGCAAGATCTAGCAATGTAAGGATAAGAATAACTATGAATCAAATGATTGCAATTAATGAAGACAATGATGAAAGTTTAGCCAAGAAATTTTAAATAGTCATAATTTATTACGTGATCCAAAACTTAAAATAAAATACATGTGAAGCATTGGGATTTCTTATTGAGAATAAAAGACAAAACCATTCAATGAGAGAATACAGTTTTTTCGCAATAACAGTTAATTAATAAAATAAATTATCCGATTTATTATATTATTATTATTATTATTATTATTATTATTATTATTATTATTATTATTATTATTATACTTTTGCGAAAAATTTTTTGTTAAGCCTTAATTTAACCCATATTAAAAAGAAAGTACCAAATATGATAATAGAACCTGAATACATTATTGGTAAAAAATAAATCTCGACACCTGCTTGATTTGTTGCTCTGGATTTACTTAAATCCAACAAAGCACCTGCAATTGGTGAGCCAAAAGCTGTGCCAAGTGCTGCAATAGAGTATAAATATCCTACACTATTTGTTATCTGATCATAGCCTACTATGTCCGCGACAACCACCGGAAACAATGAAACGAAACCACCAGCATTAATTCCATAAAGTATAGCAAAAATTAATAAAGGTGCTAAAGTCGTTGAAAATGTCCATATTAATAGTATTACGACGCCGGATAAAAAAGTACATATAAAAAAGGTATTCATTCGACCTCTAATTAATTGACATTTTTTAGGTTAAAATTTTAATAATAAAAATGAAATAAAAAAGAAAATCAATCAATCCAACTTACAATTTATCAGCGCAATAGCCTAAAATTATTCGACCTAATGCATTCATTCCACTTGTAATACCAACAATTATAGCACCAGTTCCTTCTGAAATACCAATATGTGTGGCAAATGCTACAATGTTTATAAGATGTTAATATTATTGTTATTATGATTATTATACTAATAACTACAATCATTGTGCTTACATGGTATTAAGTAAAACGGCACCAAAAATCCAAAAGGAACAAATAAGGAAACCAAAGCTAACCCAACAAATTCAGGAATTTTAAATAAGCTTAAATCTACAACCTGTGGTTTCTTTGGCGACGCCAACGACGACGAATCATTATTATTTTTATTTTTTAAATGGTAATTAGGTGGAAGGCATATAAGTTTTGTCGCTATTAGCAATAATATAGTTCCCCATAAACCAAAAATTCTTATTGTCCATTGATGACCAACGATAGATAATAATTTGGATAATATTGGTGAATAAATCAAAGGTCCAACACCACTACCAGATATAGCAATACCGTTTGCTAATCCTCGACGCTTATCGAACCATAATGAAGGTGTCGAAATAGATGGATAGAATGCGAGCGAACATGATATACCCCACAACAATCCTTGAGTTAAGAATAATTGCCAAACCTTTTTATTTTTTTATCGAAAAAATAAATTAAAAATTTTTCGCGAAAAAATAAAAACCTAATAATAAAAAATTAAAAAATACTAACAGATACGGCAAAGCTTGCCATTATATTAGCAATTGCAAAAAGTATTGTTCCAGTAATCATCAAAGGTCTATGACCAAACCTATCTATTAGATAGGTGGAAAATGGACCTAATAAGAAAATAGAACTTGTACTTATTGACCCGATGAAGAATAAGGCAGAGGCAGAAACTTGCTCGTGGAATACATTTTTATAATAATAATTTTGAAATATTCCCCATGTATAACCATATCCAATAGTTGTTGCATTTACCATAAACGTAACGAACACTATTACCCATCCATATCCGCCATCTGGTACTATATATTCTAATGATTCTACATCTATTTTATCATTATCATTATTGTTTTTATTTGATTCAGAGTTTATAGAATAAACAAGTTTTTCTTCAGTTATTTGTATTTCATTTTCTGAATTTTTTAAATGTTTTGTATTATTGTTTCTAATTTCGATAATTTCAATTGGCTTTTCCGGCATAATTTTATTATTATTATTATTTTTATTATTATTATTATTTTTTTATTTTTTAGATTTTTTTTTTAAAAAAAATTTGCTCTTTATATATTTTTTTTTCTTGCTCTTTTTTTTTTCCATCTTATTTGAAAATATCATTATTAATCATGTTTATGAAAAGCTTGCTAAATTGTTTTTCCAATACCGTAATTAAAAGTTAAATAAAAATTCAAATCTATATGCATAAATTCCAGATTCGCAAACAATCGAAAAAAAAGAACGGATTGATGATGTAACGATTATTGTTAATGTCGAATGTTGGAAATTATCCGAAATGAAGACAAGCGTTATATTAATATCAATGAATTCTTAAATATTTGCATATTGTATTAGTAAAAAAAAAACATTGATGTTACACCAATACTAATCTTTATAGTAGCTATTATTTTGCTTATAAAACTTTTTAATAATAATAGTAATAGTAATTAATAGTAATAGTAAATCATTTATCCGTTATTGTATGCAAAATTGCACATTCATTGTTAATTCGATTTTGTATGTATTATTTCTATGAGCGATCACAATTTTAAAAAATGACAAGTTGTACAAAATAAATTCATTTGAAAGCTTATGAATTTTTATTGAGTCAAGAAATCAGTTTTTTTTCTAAAGCTGATTCACATCTTTTTTTCATAGGTATACTTTAGCCATAAATCACTTCAATTATCCTTGATAACGTACATGTAATTTGTGTTAAGGGAGGGTAGGGTGTAGTCATGTGATTTCATTAATGATCAGCAAGGATAAAGGATAAATATTTCCCGAACCTCTTTTAGGACGCCACTACGTGATAGCTACGCCAAAAAGGGACGGAAAATCTGTTATTCCAAAAAACATTTTACTAATCACTAATAAAACATAAACATAAATAGAAGCAAATAATTTTCAGAGTAATGTAAATAATAAAAAAATTGATTTGTAAAATGCTGCCTATAAAAACAAATAAAGATGTCTAAATTAACACACAAATATATTCCTCTTTAATAAGATTATAACGAGTACCAATGTATTCAAATAATTGCTTGATTGACCTTGGAACATGTAATGGTACAATTGGTCCAGTCTTGAATTCCATGTAATTAATTGTTTTGGCAATTTTTTTATCTTGTATTTTTGGATAAAAAATAAAATAAATAAACATGATATTGCTATTTAATCCTTTCCTCATACACGAATCCTTTGTCTCCACATCCATCACAATGTTATTAAACGCATTTGATATCATCATTGACATAATAAACAATTGCATCTCCCAAGTAATGAATAATACCAAGATCATCCAGAAATGAAACTTTTTAAGGAACCCGATTTCAAAACAATAGTTTATGTCTATCCAGGTCTCTGGGATTCACAAAAGTAAATGAATAAATAAATCCATTTCTCCGTTGGATCAGGTTGACTGGAGGGTCAAAAAAATATTTCCCTTCCCAATGTATAGTTTTTTAAAATGAATAATAAATCCAATATATCAGATTCAATTAATTTTCCTATCACAAACATGCAATAACCATGATTTCACATGTTTCATAACCATGGAATTTTTTCCACAGGCGAACTGGGAGGTTTTTTCAAGGTTGGGTCTTGACAAAGATCAGCATTTGTATGATAATTGCTTCATGTTATACCAGAATAAAATTGGTGTCTGCAACTGATTTGAAAATTTTGCAACCTGGGTTGTTGTTTGGATTTTATCTGAATTCAGAGTTTTGAGTCCTGAGTTGCTGTTTTGTCGGTGGCATATCTACTCACCAAAAAAGCACAAGTCCCCATCCCATATTCAGTTGATCAAATAAAATTTAAAGAAACGGAGAATCTAGGAAAATGATTATTTTACATGGAACGTACCAACCAAAAAATTTCGACTATTTTATTTGCAGCTTTCCTCTTAACATCAGAGCCCAAATGCATTTCCAAAGATCATCAACCTCACCATGAATTGCAAATTCCTAATATTACAATGCCACAACCTACAGAGTTGCAATTTCACAATCACAGAGCCATCCATCTTTATCATAGAAGTGGGATTGTTGTAGGTAACTTTTCGGCTGGCATGCTTTATCCGAGTAACGCCAGTTCGGGTGCTGTGAGGGAAGATTAAGATTCAAATGTCCTTTGGCAATGATGCAGTCTCGATAAACTATGGAGCCTTAACTCCCCCTGAAAATTTATTTGCATCATCGTATCATCGGGTTAGTCTTGGTCAAATTAGTCTAGTGTACACGGAGAACGTGAGAGTGACTGTAATATGTTTAAAGTAGCATATGTGCCTTAACGTTTGTAAATTTCTGATAATCAAAAATGTCCGCATATTGAATTGTTTTTCAAATCGTCTAGGTGCCGTTTCCCATCCCATGTTCAACTGTCATGCCGCCTTTCTTTACCTCGACGCTTTCTTGTGATTGCTTAATATTACGAAAAGCAAATACACTACCAATCATTTATTATCTTGATAGAGAGAATCCTAGCAAACTCTGCTCCACGTTTTAATTTCAATAAAATATTTATAATAATCATAGATAGATAGATATATATATATTTAATATTTATAAATCAATACAATAAAACCAAAGATACCTCTCCAAGTAACTAAATTCACATTTACTCGTCTTGGATTCTGTAAAAAAATTAATTGCTTTTTCAGAAAAAAAACATCAAAAAAAATTTTAAATCTTTGTACTACGTCAATTAAAAAAAAAAGCCATAGGAAGAGAAGAACTGAATTGCAGACATGTGTTACAAGCTATGTGGTCATCGCCACTTGTCGACATTCTAGTTTATTTAACAATAAATTTAACACGTAGATTTATGTCATTTTTAATTTCCTGATGTACTTAGGAGGAAGATTAAGGAAGATGTTCCGGAGGAACATTCTCAACTTCTTGTTCTTCTACTACTGAGACCATTTATTGTCTGCTACCACTTTCTTTAGGGATTTTTATCATTTTCACAGAATTCTAGAATATTCAAAAAAAATATGGAGCAGGCCTTTTTATTTAGGTGCTTGGAGACTCTGTCTAGTTCCATATGGTTACAACTAAGGTTTCCGGTCGAAACTACCTCACTTAGTAGCCAAAGTTGTTGAAACACTTTGATCAAAGATTAATTTTTATAGGTCCAAACTATTTTTTATTAATTAGGCAAATTATTTTTAAAATTATTTAAATCAAGATAGGTTGATTTATATAGTTTTTCATGTTTGTTCTTATAAAAAATATTGAGAAACCCAAACTATTGCAAATGTTACTTTTTTTTTTCGAAAATGGTTTGGACCGAAATCTTAGTTACAACACTAAAACAAAACAATATTTATCATTATTCTTTTATGCATATTCAACAGACAAATTCTATTTATTGAAGAGTGGTTAAATATTCATTCGAAATATTCAAACTTAAATTCAATTTTAATTCATCAACTAAAGTTGATTTAAAGCTTGTAAACAACGCTCAAGCAGGTTTTGGATGTTTTTATATTGGTCAAAAGTGATAATAATGGTATAACAAAGTTTTGTGAATCATCAGATTTGAAGATAATTCACAATTAAATCACCACAACAGCAATATTAATAATAACAATATCTCTGGTAAATTTCAACCTTCCTTAGAGCTATGGTTGCTTACCGAAGATTAATCGGCAGGTTACATATTAATACTGAGATACACATTAATTGTTTATCAGAGTTTTGGCAGTTACTAAGAGGTTTCGGTAAACAAGTTTATTTCAGACAATAATGATGATATTTAATGATGTGACTTTTAGTTTCAATGATGAATCAGAAATTAGAGCATCGATGTCATCTTTATCTGCACATTTTAATTATTTTAACAAAATGTTCAGTGGTGGATGGGAAGAAACAAATGCAACGTGTTCAAAGAAGAGCAAGAAGTAAAGACGGAACCATTTCACAGTTGTAGATGGAAAATCCAAATATTTTCTTTGACTTTCGAAACCAAAGACAACCCTTTTTAAAATTATGCAAATTATTTCATATGGTATATATATACTTGAACCAAGTTAATCAAATTATTTCTAGGTTCGGGTCAGGTTCGAGTCGAATCGAATCAAAGCACGATTAGTGTTCGATTCGAATGAAACGAATCAAAAATTTGGTATGTTTTTTCTCGCTCAGACGAATCAAAATAAATAAACATTACTTACATTTTTAATTATTATAAATTGTATATGTCCAATACAATGTTTATGATTGTATTACTTTTTACAAAGGATTAATAAATAAATTGCATAGCCAAAATAATGATAATATCAAGACTATGTAGAAATGAAATTTAAGGAACCGATTTTGAGAACTTTGACGGCGTTGGAAAATAAATCCTTGATATTGTTGCGGAGCTTCAATCTGATCTTCTTTTCCGTGTATCCATTTCGTTGTCATCCAAGTGGTACCGAAAAAAATTTTAGTGGTTGAGTCTCTACTTGGTTCCCTTTTTTTTCACGTGTGTGCGCGCTTCCCAATTGTATACAATTACAAGTTGTAGAGTTCCTTAAGATCATTTTCATAGACAGGGTTTGCATTAGACAACATCTTGGACTTTATCCAATATGTTTAAGGTGTGTTGTGATTTAATGTTATTGATGATGGTAGCTCGAATGATGTTGTAGTTGTCAACATATGGGGTTGTGAATTTGGATACATGTCCTATGCCAACTCTGATCATAGGTATCAGATTTAATAAAATCTTCCTTTCAAAACAAACAATCGCATGCTCTTTTGAATCCCATGACCATGGAATTTTTTCCTCTCCAAAAATTGAAGGTAATTGGTCACGTGGATAGAATTTGGACAAGTGAGAGCCTTAAACTTCATTTATTAGCAAAAAAACACTTCTTCTTCAGAACCATACCAAATAATACTTTTACTATTAACGAACGCCTTCTCAGTTCTAGATTCTTTAATCAATTGATTTTTTGGGTGTTTTCTCCTTTATTTTATAATTATACTTAAAAAAAAAAAGGATACCCAACAGAGACAAGATAAAAGAAAAGCACATATATAGTTCAAAAAAGTAAGTATTATTAGAAGAGAAAAGAAATGCTCAAGAGCTTTTCTAGTTCTAATTTAATATTGTATTTATTTTTTAAAATGAAAATGTTATCTTGATCAAGAAATCAATGACACCTGAAGGTTTGTTGCGTAAAGAGTAATTTTTTGTGACCAGCAGAGAAAAACTGACACAACAATAATGACCTTATTATACTACTAGATAAATTTTTTGTGTGTGCGCAGAAAAAAACTCAAAGATTATTGATACATATTGATATATTTTTTTTTGCTTTGGGGGACGTAGAGATTAATGTTTCTACGGCAAGTTTGTCGATTAATCAATTAAGCATTTCACTAATCTCAGCCTCTTATTTTCTCTTATTGTTTCTTCAAAATTCTGGAACCACTGTACCATTATAAAAAAGTACTTGCGAACATGTGACTATCTTCCGAAATAAAAAGTGGAACACCACCTAAAGGATCACTTTTAAATCAAATCCTTCCGCTGTTGAAATCACAAGATTTGGAAGGTCAACAGCGTTGTGACCAGAAACTCTTTTGGCTTCCAGAAACGTTTCGGAAAATGAACTTACACTAAGCAGAAAACTAAACCTAAAACTAAAACTAAAAACTACTAACCTAAACTAGTTTCAGTTGGTTTCTGTTAGTTTCTGTTTCGGGTCTTCCCTAAACTCAGAGTTTCGGGTCACAATACTGGAGGTCAAGAATGTTATTTACTAGTCAAAGCAATGGACAATATTATTTGTAAATAATAATGATTAGACCGGCCTTGTGTACACGAGGAAAAGATGTGAATTACTGTCAAAGTAGCGTACTTCAACATCTGTAAATTTCCGATGATCAAACGTTGGATATTGTCTAGGAGCAGTTGTCAACAGTTGTGCTACTTCTCTTTACCTTTGACACTTTCTTGCAATTGTTTTGACATTATACTTGATATTAATAATGATTACGCAAAGCAATCATTTGTTATGATAGAGACATGACAAATTTCGCTCCATGTTTTGATTACAATTAGTATTAGTAATATATGATATTTATAAAAAAAAAAAGCATTTCTGGTTATTAAATAAATAACTCTTCTTCGGAACCATGTCAACTAAATAACACTTCTAGTATGTTTGTCAATGAAGGCCTGGTTTCCTTGTCTTGGACTTTTCATCTAAAATAAATTGTTTTTTTTTTGCAAATAAAAAAATCAATTCGCGTCTCAAAAAAAATAAAAAAAAAAAAGAAAAAGCCAAAACAACAAAAAGTAAACAAAAAAAAAGAACCAAAGAAAATAGTTTAGGAGCTTCCCATGAGTAAGCATTGAGAGTTATTCTAGTAATTATTATTTTAAAAAAAAGGGTTAAACTTTGGGTTTATTTTTAAACTGGCCGCTTCCAACAAAGAAAACAAAATTGTAGGTAAATTATGCTCTTTTCGATTGATAAGATTGATATGGCGAGTTGGAAATTAAAAAAACGATTAAAAGAATTAGAAAAAAAAATTTCCTTTATCGTTATATTATGATTCTATTATATGTAAGTTAATAGATAATGTTCACAAAGAAGATATAACAATTTTACCAACAATCATTGAAAACTTGGAGGTAGGTGACAAACATTCTTTTGATGCTTTATTGGATTAATACATGCACGAATTTCAAAATGAGGTGTTTGAATTTTGAGCGACACCCTGTAGGTCGTCTAATATTTATATAAATATGTGTATCATTCATTTGGTTTTGAAATCTATACGAATTTGCAATTCACATACGTGAAATTCAATCAGAATTTCATATCCTACCCCAACATTTTAATTATAAATTTCGTTTCAATTTCACATACAGCAGTAACACGAAAGGAATTCTCGAGCTACCTCGATTTTGAAAAAAGTGACCAAGTTATATGGGATCAAGCATCTACAATATAAGATCCCCCACTGGTTTGTCAAGGTATGTGATTAATCATTGTATTTCTGACTTGAAGGTCAGAAATCGTTTAATTTTTGTGGGACAGTTCAGTTAATGAACTACAAAACAAAATAGAAGATATATTTTATTAATATAAAAAACCTAATTTACAGTTTGAGTCCTGATAGAGAATATGCACATTATGAAGAACAATTGAAACGATATATGACTAAAGAATGTCAAAAATATTATTATGACTATGGAAGGGAGATGTAAATCAGCTTTAGAAAAAAAAATCACTGATTTCTTGACCCATAATATTTTAAATGAATTTATTCTTATTTAATGACTTTCATTTTAAAAATGGATCGCCCATAGAAATAATACACGTGTTATTTTGTATATGATAACGGATAATGATTTATTATTATTATTATTTGTAAAAATTTGAGTTTGTAAAGCAAAATAAATGCTACTGTAAAGGTTAGTTATTTTTTTACTGATGCGATATACAAAATTTTTTAAAATTTATTGATTAAACGCTTGCTTTCATTTTGGATAATTTCCAACATTCGAGATCATCATCATCAATTCATTCTTTTTTTCGATTGTATACTTGAATGTTTATTTATTTGAAGTTTATTTCAATCACGGGATTGGAAAAACAATTTAGCGAGCTTTTCATCAACATTATTAATATGGGAAAAAAAATCAAGAAAAAAAGAATTATTTTTTTTTAAAAAATAATAGGAATAATAATAAAAAATTATGACGGAAAAATCGATTGAAATTATTGAAATTGAAAATGATAATAATACAAAATATTTAAATGAAATAAAAGTATCTGAAGAAAACCTTGTTTATTCTGTAGATTCTGAATCAAATAATAATAATAATAATAATAACAGTAGGAGTAATAGTAATAATGATGATAAAATAGATACAGAATCATTAGAATATGTAGTACCAGATGGAGGATATGGATGGGTAATAGTGCTTGTTGCATTTATGGTAAATGTAACAACTATTGGACATAGTTATACATGGGGAATATTTCAAGATTATTATTATAAAAATGTATTCCACGAGCAAGTTTCTACCTCTGCCTTATTCTTCATCGGGACAATAAGTATAAGTTCTATTTTCTCATTAGGTCCATTTTCCACCTATCTAATAGATAGGTTTGGTCATAAACCTTTGATGATTACTGGAACAATACTTTTTGCAATTTCTAACACAATGGCAAGCTTTGCCGTAACTGTTAGTATTTTTGATTTTTTATTATTAGGTTTTTGCGAAAAAATTTTTAATTTATTTTTTTGAAAAAAATAAAAATAAAAAAAGGTTTGGCAACTATTCTTAACTCAAGGACTATTATGGGGTATATCATGTTCGCTCGCATTCTATCCATGTGTTGGAACACCTTCATTATGGTTCGTTAAGCGCCGAGGATTAGCAAACGGCATTGCTATAGCTGGTGGTGGTGTTGGACCTTTGATTTATTCACCAATAATATCCAAATTATTATCTATCGTTGGTCATCAATGGACAATAAGAATTTTTGGTTTATGGGGAACTATATTATTGTTAATATCAACAAAATTTATACACCTTCCGCCTAATTACCATTTAAGGAATAAAAATAATGATTTGTCAAAGAAACAACAGATTTTAGATTTAAGCTTATTTAAAATTCCTGAATTTGTTGGATTAGCTTTGGTTTCCTTATTTGTTCCTTTTGGATTTTTTGTACCTTTTTACTTAATACCATGTAAGCATAATAATTATAGTTATTAGTGTATAACCATAACAATAATAATAATTGTATAACATTGTAGCATTTGCCACACATATTGGCATTTCGGAAGGAACCAGCGCTATAATTGTTGGTGTTGCAAGTGGAATGAATGCGTTTGGTCGAATAATGTTAGGCTATTGCGCCGATAAATTGTAAGTTGGATTGATTGATTTTCTTCTTTATTTCATTTTTATTATTAAAATTTTAACCAAAAAAAAAAATGTTAATAAATTAGAGGTCGAACGAACACCTGTTTTATATGCACTTTTTCATCCGGCGCTGTAGTACTATTAATATGGACATTTTCAACAACTTTAGCAC